TCAGAGAGGAAAGAGAAGGGACATGGCATCTTAATGAAAAAGGTTCATTTTACATTACTGAAACATCTCTCATGAATTAGGAGAAGCCGGCTTCAGGTGCGCGTTTGGAAACGTTGCCGGAGGACGACTCTTTTACCTTCCTAAACCCGAGTTGTGCAGCTCCATTGGAATAGGATATTAGAAGCCTGGCTCCTCTACACGCTGTATCAACACGCCGCCCAGTCTTCTGATTTGCCCGTTATTTCGGCATAGTCCATGCAAAGATAAGATTTCACAATTTGCGGGATGTTGACCTAAATTATTTCGGCTTAATGAAAGAAACCTGAGCCGGAATGTCTTTCATCTTATTCCTAGCAAGGAAAATCGTGTACGGGGAGGAGGGAAAAGGGTCTAAAATTCTGAAATAAAAGTTTCATTTTGACTTCCCCTCAAAAAATGAACAATTAAGACAAAAAATCTATTCAACCTGATGATATTAAGTCATTTTTTTTTAATAAAGATGCCCCCTCCCCAGCATTTTAAATTGGTGTCTTCCTTATAAGGCAGAACCTTCTACGGTTGATTATACATTTTACAAAGACATTCATTTTCAAGGCTCTCCAGAGATAAAGATAAATATATTTTCTATAAATTCTCTTTCCCAAAAAATGTGCACATAATTAAATTTAAAATGCTTGTGCATGTGTACAGTGCATTTCTGATTATGTATAATATGTATGTAGTGCAATTTATATTGTTAGTACACCTGTTTATGTATGGTCTTTTGTTCATTATTTTTCCCCTACATGTACAGTTTTTTGTTAATAGTCAGGAAACCATATCAAACTCCAGCTCATCATTTTGCCTAGACAAGCTTTCCTGTTGCCATGGCTTCACGTGCATGCGGTCCTAATGAAAAGCTATCAATATCATCCAATTACAAGTGAGCCCTTACAGGCGCAACAAAGGAGAGAATCTCCCTTTTCATATAAACCTGTCCAAATCCACACCACTTTATTTCCTTTTCCCCTCTCCAAAGCTGGAGTTTGTATTGAACCCTCGACGCACTCGGCAGAAACCACGGCAACAATTGAAAACAACTAGCCGATATTGACGATATCCACCAATAACCGTTTGAATGAAGTCTATTGAATTTGAGCGAATACCAAATTGCTCCATGGCAACCAAAACTGGCTGTAGAAACTGGTCTCTTGTTTGATGGGAATAAAAGCTTTCCGTTGCCAAGGCAATGGGTGTAAACAAGCTGACTTGGGGGTAGTTCGTCTCGCTTTAGTTTGTTTTATTCTGCATGTTGCTGCTTACGATTATTTGCTATTCTGCTTTCAGAGTTGGGGATGAAACTATGAGTATTGAGTAAGGCGCAGAGGATGGAAAACCGGCGCACAATGGGGCTGGGTATTTACTCAGAACATTTGGGTAGGATGACAATGGATGATTAAGGGACTGATAATCATGTTGGTGGTACGCTATCGGACAAAAGATCTTGGGGGTACAACACTGTCTTTTTCTATAAAAACGAGGGCTGCAGAGTATATTATACATGAGCAAAATCCCTTGGCCTTTACTATTAGGTACCTGTTATCTCTCTATTTTCCTCTCTCTGTTTTGATACATACATGAACATTTAAGTACATAATTGTTTGCAGGAAGCATGTACAATGTAATTTAAATACTTTTGGAAGATTTCCTTTTTAAAATGTAATGCAGTGTTACTATTTTCTTCAGTTATTTCCTGATAATAACTCTATCACTGTTCTGTGCTAAAAAGTAGCATAAAAGGTATCATTCAAAGTCATAAGGGGGGGGGGGGAGGCTGAAAAGTACTTTATTATTTCCAATTTCAATCGAAAAGATACATGTGGCCTGCAAGAGCTAGGTTCAATTACCAGCCCATGCAAGGCATTTTACATAAAGTTGCCTCTCTTCATTCAGGTGAAGTAATTGGTTATCTGACCCACATATATTTGGCTGTTAAAATTTAATAACATCATCAGCTGTCTCAATATGTAGCTTTCAAAGAATAGGTATGGACAGGGTTTGAAATTAGCTATTAACAAAACTGTATAAAATATCAGCAGCAAAAGAAAAAATTCTATAAATATATGAAATGTATTAGACTGGTTTCAGTATTTCCCTTGTATCATTTACATACATGTACTGTACATGTATACAAATGGTTACTTTTAGATTTTCAGCTTTTACTACACAATTCAAACACACCCATTTCTATACAATGATAAGCAGGTGATATAGACATGTACTGTAGTCTGAAGTACAGGTGAATCACGTAGCCATTATCAAAATTGAGGTCGGATCATTGGTTTTCAGCTCCAGAGCATTCTAAAACGCAGTTTTACAGCATATTATTGTGTGAAGTACATATTACTAATGGATGCTGAAATACTATGAATTTTAAATAACCATGCCAACCGCACAAAACAAGAATGAATTCCAACAATAAACTCTCTTTTTAAGGGGGAAAAAAATCTAAATTTTAAATAACCATGCCAACCGCACCAAACAAGAATGAATTCCGACAATAAAATATCTTTTTGAGGAAGAAAAAAAAATCTAAATTTTAAATAACCATGCCAACCGCACCAACTAAGAATGAATTTCAACAATAAAGTCTCTTTTTGAGGAAAAAAAATCTGAGAGTATAATGGTGGTTTTTCAAAAGGAACCTGGGAAATTTATGGTACATATCTTCAAAGGTAGTGTATGCAAAGTTCATTATTATGAAGGTTCAAATACTTATCATATGGAATAAAATAGGTTCATGCATATCTGTATTTTGACAGCTTTTACAATACATGTACAGTAGTTTTAAATTTGTTCTGAAAGAAAACACAGAAATGGGGAAGAGCTTTATAGCATTAACAGATCAGAAGGCAAAATAGGCCCAGCATAGAATATGTTAAAAGAAAAATTCATTGAAAAAGTACAAAAACTTTTAAGAATATGAAACGAGGAAAGAGCTATGGATAAATATCTGAAACATAACATAACCAAAGAAATTATTAATTAGTAATGACAAAAAGAAAATTATATTAGACAATTATTAAGAGTCTCAATATAAAAGACTTTTCCACAAATATATGAAGTTCAATGACGGACTATCTCATTGCTCAAAGGCAATTGAATTATAAAGATACACTTGGATGGGGTTTATTAAAAGTTGGCAGACTTGATACAAATTCATTTTAACACTGACCATGAAGATGGGTTTAATTTCACCATCCTGAATAAGAAATAGCCACTGGTGTCGGAAGATTCCATCATTATTAGAAAAATCGCTTTTCATTTTCGGTCTGATGGAGTTGCCATGGCAACAGAATCTGAGTAAATGTCATGGAAATATCAATAACTCTGTTTTATTTATTTCTGTATGCTCAGTGTGATAGCAATTGGTTATTGGTAGTTAAAAGGAAAAGGCTATATTAATTTCTTGTCTTATCTCTCCTATCTCTCCTTTCTCTCCCTCTCTTTCTCCTCTCTCTCTCTCTCTCTCTCTCTCCCTCTCCCTTCATGTACATATATCTCTCACTCTCATCTCCTATCTCCGCTTTCTCTCTTTCTTTCTCTTTCTCTTCTCTTCTCTTCTCTCCTCTCCTCTTCTTTTCTCTCTTTCTTTCTCCCTCCCCCTCTATTCACCTTTTTCTCTTATATCTCTCATATCCTTTTAGATACACCAATAACATGGTGGCCTGTACTTCAACAGAAGAAGACATATTGTACCATCCTATTCCAACCGGGGGGGGGGGGGGGGGGGGGGGGGGGGGGGGGGGGGGGGGGGGACTTGGGTTCATATTCAAACTTTCTCCTATCCCACTCCACTTCAAAAAAAAAAAATATCTTGAACTTCTCCATCCACAACATATTCCTAACTTTAATAATATCATCTTAAAAAAAAAAAATCATCACTATGCTTTTTTTTCTTTCTATATTGTCAGCGCTTCCTCTTTTCTCTCCTTTTCTATCTCACTCTCCCAGGCATTCTTGATCACCACATTTCTCAAGTACCTCTCAACACAATTTTTATTAAAAAGAAGCTTGCCACGTGAAGAAAAAAAAATATTCCGCAAGTGGAGGATATTGCCAATATTCCTTAAAATCCAGGCATTTAGGAGGTTCATATTGGCCAGATTGCCAAAGATTTATCCCTTAGGTATGAAATCTCAATTTTTTATTGAATTTGATAATCAACTTATATTATTTGGGACAATGCCTTACAGTAAAGACGGGCAATATCTCTAATTAAATTTTTTTAGAAAACGAATCTGGAAGACCTTTTATCGCTCAAGGTTGGGGGATTTCGGGCAGGAGGAAGGATCCAGGAAATTAATATTATTGCTTTCTCAGATTCTATCATTGAAGTTGATGGTTTGATTGGTAGAGATATCTTTAGGTTATATATCTCAAACTATATAAAAGCCAATTAAATGTTATCGATGGCACAAACAGTTTTGAAATTTTCATGGAGGAGGAATGTGATTTTGGCAGAGCTCTTCCAAGATGAATTATTATTTTTGTCATGCTTTTGAGTTCATGATTAGCAAGAAGCCAACAGCTTGATCTAAAAAGTATTCTTCTCCAATCATTTGCATTTCCTTTTTTCTTCACAGGATAAATAAGTTTTTGAAGACTAAAGTTTTTATGTTTGATGACTATTTTTATTGTATGAGTGAATATTAAAAAACGCTTGGGACATTTTCCAATTTGGTCACAGAGATAATTAATCTGGTTTATATCACTCGAATCTTTGAAAAAAATTCATAGTTTTGATATTTATCATCATCATCATCACCAATATCATCATTATCATCATCATCATCTGATCACCATCATCATCACCGCCACCATCGTCGCCGTCGGCATCGTAATCATCATCACCATCACCATCATCATCACCATCCTCATCACCATCATCATCACCAATTTCATCATCACCTCCATCAATATCATCACTTCTCGATATTTTAATGAGATGTTTGACTTACGAATGTGTTCGATTGGTAGATCTTCATCCCTTGCAAGAGCCCCTTCCTCAATGTAGCCGTACATGCCTAGGAACTCCTTCATGGTGTCAGTTGCGTATGCCTTGACCGCCTCCAGCCCTTCCATGTCATAGGGTGCACCTGGATCAATCTGGCCATCCTTGCCCATCTTGGTGGACATCGGTGATGAAGGTGATGCAGAGGATTGAGATGGTTCTCCTTGCTCCTCTGGTTCCAAATCCTCCACATACTCCACCTGCTCCTGCTCCTCCTCCTCCTCCTGCACCGCGTCTCCCTGTTCCGGAGGACACGTCTCCCTCATCTCCTCAAATTCTTGAGTCTCAGCTATCCTCTCATCTCGCTCCTCAACCATCTTCACCGGCTCAGTCTTGCTTGGTCTGCCTCTCCGTCGCCGCGGTTTCCCTTCCGGTCCCTGAGCTGCTCTACCACTCTCCTCCATGTCACAAACCACACCGTTGGTTTCGAGTCCTTCCTCAATTTCAGTACCATTTTCATTGCACCAGCTGCGTTCAGCATACTCCATTATTGCTCGAGGATCGTAGGAAGCCTTGTCGCCCGCCACGTCCTCGTCTGAAAGCCCAGATTCATCATAAATAGGTACCTTACAGCTGTTGCGGGTGCGCAGTTCGTGTCCCGCAACCTTGTAAGGAGCCACCTCCGTCTCTTTGGAAGAAGCAGAAGGGTCATCTTGTCCTACTTTATTGCCATTATTTGCCTTGTGATTAGTTGCATTTGTATAGGGGATATTTTGCATAGATATATTTTCATCATGGTTATGTTCCTGAGTATTAAATTCACTATCTGCTGTCTCTTCTTGCTCCTCCTCCCACTGGTCTAGGCCATTGACTGGCTCGTCCTGGTGTGAGCCAACCACGCCACTGTCCAAACTCTCATCGCAATCCTGAAAACTGTTTACCGAGCCATCGTCCCATCTGAGGGACTATCCGCTTCCTGCGTGGCTACTCTTGTTGAGCGCTGCCGCGACTTTCTCTTGCTGGCACCACTGAGAACTTTAGGGGAGCTGCACCTGCTATCGTCACCGCCATTCCTTTCGATAAATCCCTTGTATTCTGGCAGTTCATCAGTCATGTAGCCATTGTTTTCCGTTGCTTGAACCATCGGAAGCTGCGCGCTGCAGTTGGGCGCAACGTCGCCATTGTGAAACGTCTTGAGGTCAGAGCCGACGTCCGGCTGGAAAGCTTCCTGATCCTGGTGGTGGGCGTACCTGGGCGAGCCGTTGCTACCTGGAAGGGTGGCCCCTGTGCAGGGCTCCTCCTGGGGTGGTAGCCCGGACAGGCCCTTGGACAGCTTGGCGCAGATGGCATCGAGCTTGAACGTGGTCTTGAGCATGGTGGTGGTGTGAGAGGCAGACAGGACTGCACTGGGCTGAGTCACTCATGGATCACTCACTTAGTTACTGCTTCATATTTCTGTGGAAATAAGCAAAAAGATTAAAACCATTTGAAGGAAACATTTCTCCGATACATCTGAATCAAACTGTCAATATGAATAAAATCTTGTGATGATACAGAAACATAAATTTACAGGCATACATGTATCCAACAGTCGATAAAATGATATAACATATTAACAATGTTCATATACATAACAGAATGACTTCCTATCACAACATTTCTAACTGTTACATCTATACAACTTAACAACTTGAAATGAAGAATATAGCTCAAAAGTCGCATATCAAAATCAAGCAGATAATTTCTGTTGAATTCTTCATCTATCAATCATTTTCTATTCACTTGAGCAACATATATCCTTTGTTATCACTAAACTCCTCCCAGTTCGAAGAGCCATCTGATCGAGGTATCCTCTTTCTACAAAATCTTACTTTAATTGCATTGTCTTCACAAGAAATATTCTTGTGATTAAATGACAAAATAAAGAAGAATGTTATGGGAAAACTGTTGAAAATCACATTATTTGCTCTACAAGATTCCTAGCGCTCCTCGATTCCAAAGGGCTTAAGTTCATTTTCTTCTCAAAATTTTCAAAAACAGTTTGGATATTTAAAAACATCAAAGTACTTAAATATCAGAACAATGACAGATAAGATAGGTATTGTAGTTTTCAGTTACATTTTTGTAATCTTGCTTTTGACTTCATAGCCAACATTTAAACTATCTTGAACTCATCTCTCTCTCTCTCTCTCTCTCTCTCTCTCTCTCTCTCTCTCTCCTTCCCTCTCCTTCTCTCTCTCTCTCTCTTTCTCACCTTTTCCACCTCATTCTCTTCTTTTTGTTCTATTTTCTAACTCTTTATGTTTCTCACTCTTTTCCACATTCTCAATCTTCACAAACAAATATTCCAGTTCCTTCTCTTTCTCATTCATTCATTTTTTATCTTCCTCTTTCCTTAATTACCTCAATACACTTCATCACAAATAACCGTCTGTCTCTCTGTCTCTCTCTCTCTCTTTCTCTTTCACTCACATATCATCCACAATTTTTACCCAAATATAGGAAATCTACAACCCACGGAAGTAGAGAAGTCTGTCATCATGAGCATTCCACAGAGATTATTCACCAAGCCTTCTAAAATCCCTGCACCAATGACTGGCTAAGCATTGTTTCTACCTTCAAACAAGATGTTTCGATTCATATTTTCCTCCAACATTTTCCCAATATGATACATTCATCTTTGTGAAAACAGACAAGACACGACTAACTGACAAGGAGATCGAGGTGGAGATGGGGTGGGGTGAGATGGGTGGGTTGGGGGGGGGGGGGTAGTTGGGACTGGTGGTAAATCCGTAGTGTAATGAACACCCCTGAACTTGCCTCAAGAAGTCCCATGCGTTGGATTTAGCCAGATTGGGAGTTTAATGCAAGGAGCCTAGCTAGGAGATGACACACACGCTGTCACTTCGAATAGGGTCCATGTCAATCTCTATATCACTGTCTTCTTCTTAAATACGATATATGATACCACAAATGTGTGGTGCCTAAAGGAATATCCTAGGACAATGAACAAATAAATGATGTATACTGGTATAAATGCTTTTAAGAAAACAGTTATATTTAAAACAAAATATCATCATCACCATCACTACCAGCATCGTCTTCATCATCATCATCATCATCATCATCATCATCATCATCATCATCATCATCATCATCATCATCATCATCATTATTCATCACCATCATCATTTCTTCTTCATCATTGGCACCTATATCTCCAGAAATGCAAATCAAAACCTCACCAACTAATATGTCATTAGCAAAATAATTTTTATTTTCAGTATCAATAATATTATTATCCATTTTTAAGTGTACCAATGTACCATCATTATACAATTATCATGATTTCATTTTTTGGTTAAAACTCTAAGAATCTGTTTTTATACCAGAATAAAGTTGTGAACTTTGGGTCTACTGGTGAGTCTCCTTCTTTCGTATGGCAATGTATGAAGTGAGTATGCTAAGACTACTACTACCACATGTACCAACAGTGACAAACTCATCACCAGTCGCTAGTATTTGCAATATTGCGATGGGCTCTTTATCAAGAAGGACCAAGAGCTAGTTGGATAAGGCAAGGAATGTGTAAGAGGAGGTTAAGAGTTCAGACGAGCAAGACAAATCACAGAGTGCTACGTTCTTAACGCTGGTAAAGAAACGTGACTCTGAACGATGATGAAGATGATTGCTAGATCTAAATGAATGTCCATTCTGACACTGCCGATAGTGCACTGACGGATAGAAACAGGAATGGCAGATACAAATTGGAGATGACACCGCTGTAATGGATAAGAAATGCAAATTATATAGAAAGTGCAAGTTCTAAAAAAAAAAAAAATCTAGTTTACATATCAAATTAGCAATTATATAAATCAAACCAATTTATACTTTTAAAATTAAATTTACCTTGATTATTTGGGAGACTTGAACTTTCTAGAAATTAACCATGGACACTAATCAACGATACAATATCACATATTTTATTATTATAATTTGGCAGCAAATTAGCTGAAGTACATGTACTGTAGTTAATTCAGGTACCAGGTAAAATATCACACCTTCTGTTTGTAAGCAAGCAGGGAGAGGAAAGCTTTAACTTGAAGTAAAAAAATTACATGAAAATCAAACAACTGCGAAAGCAGACAGAAAGGTCAATGCGCGCTCAGAGAAAATGGTTAAAATCTAAGAAATCATAAGTGTTTAAAAGACGGAAGCACTTGATAAGATTCTAGAGGAGGTGGAGGCTGGCTACTAATTCAGCTCTAGTTTGCCCAAATCAGAGATTGACGTCAATGTATCTAACATGCCTCCTGGCTATGCTAGCTGAACTGAATAGAGAGAATGGCCGGGTGAGAGGATGGGAGTACTATACATCTACACACCATCGTACTTATCCCTCACACACAAACACAGAGGGATGCAAGCGCACAACATTGGTAGTCTACTGTTGAGACCTGAGAGAGGGTTTTAAGGTACTCGAGCGACAAAGCGAAACAGTCTTGGCAAAGACTACCAGCCCAAAACATACACAGGAGTCGAAAGTGAGTTTAGCTACGAAAGGCGGTGAATAAAGATGGTTAAAAGCTCAAACAAACCTTGATTAATGGACAAAATATTGAATAATTGCTTAAAGAACTCACTGTTTCTACAAATATCCCCAAAATCCCATGTGATATAAATATAAGAGGAATTTCTACACTGAAAACTACTCTCTAATGGATAAATTGGTTGATAATGCATCCATGTGACATAAATACATTTTTCTGACTTGTTTTCTTGACATATAAACAACATATCATTTATAGAATGAATGAAATATACCAATAAGGTCTGAATATCCAGACTATTCTCACAATCGCAGATTATAAAGGTAGTCACACGTTCTCCAAGGGCTGTAACCATAAATGGTATATCAAAAATTGCTATCTCTCTTTCGCCGATAATAATGCTCTCACTCTGGAAGTTCGGAGGACAACAGTTCAGTGGGACAGCTTAAAAACGTTTGAGGTGAACTGGCTGTTAATCACTTCACTTTCAATTCTATAGCTGAACATCATGAATACAAATCAATGAGTAATGCCTAGAATATAATATAATGACCCTGTGATGTGCAAAATATTGAAGCACCTGACGAGAGTTTATCACCATATATTAGTAGGCCTATACGCATTAAAAGCTACAGAGGTTGCACTATAAAGTCTATAAAGAGGAAGTGTCATTTTAAAAACACAAGTCATCCATTCCCAAATACTTATTTTTAGTGAGATTACAATTGTAGATAAAAGTGACAAAAAGTTGTTAAGAATATTTGATGAGATAAAAAAAAATGTTAATGATGGAAAATATTCTTTTAAGCTTTTATTTTCATTAAGATGTGTGACATGTCATTTTATTATACTGTCAAATATCAAGCTGATAAAGTCAACGTTTTCATAATCCTGATTTAAAAATGCAAGTTTGACATCCTTTGATTTAAAAGTAAAAATCAATCAAACTATTTCCAATATAAATAATTTTCCCAAAATGTATTTTTTTAATTCAAATCTCATACTCAATTGTCAGAACTCATTCTTTAACTTTATACCGTCTGTTTAGAGTCTGAAGGGCGTTAACTCTATGCAGAGGCCATGGTACAAAATCAAATGCCCTGCTGGCTCTCAGCAGAAGATATCCATTCAAAAACAATCCAATGACATTCATCTCTTCATTCATTCATTCATGCAATCGACAGGGTCTGCGCACCAGACTACCTTTCATCACAGAAGTACATCCTGACAGCTTCATACAGGAAGTACAAGTATGTAGGTCAAAGGTGAATGACCCTGGGTCACTACCTATTGTCGAGGATCAAAGAGTGTGCTGACATGTGCCTGGGTATGTATGGTTTGGGGAGGTACTCCGCGAGTTCATGCGAATTGACTTCTTGACAAATTGTGGCCAAGTGCGGGCCAACCCCCTTGAGGAATAGACTTGTAACTAGCACAAGACATCAGAGCGGGTTCCTACATGAACCTATGACTTTAATACACCGGTGTTACAACCAAAAGTACACGTAGCTTACGCAAATATTAGTTTTTTAGAAGAAAAGTGCGTTCCTCAAAATCTTCCAAAGGCTGAATGTGTAAAAGTAAATTTACTATGAAACAGACTGAACTTGGGATGAACTATTTAAAGAATGAAACTCCACTTCTTGAAATGCAGGTAACATTCATATATGTACGTTATTCATGGTTTTCAAACTAAAATGCTACAACATACTTTCAGATTTCTCATTAATTCTATAGAGCTTTAGGAAATGTTTCTATAAAGCAGTACTTGTTATATTTCAAGTTTTTTCACATGAAATATGATCTTGTTAATATTCCTGTATGCCATTGATTGCAAGACTCTCATTATTGCCAGAGTGCATTTAATATATATGGCATTAACCTTTATTGATCTACAAACAAATT